GTTTATTTATATACGTATAGCGTATGATTTTTATTGAAAATTAGTATTTATTAATTTTCAGCCCCCAAGTGACTGTGGATGAAGGCATCAAACAAAAGATGTAACTGACATGAGAAATGGCCATATATTATAATGTAACCTCATAAAATATGCATAAGCAATACACCCAGATTTTACCCCCAAATTGTTATCAGTCACATGGTTATCCTGATGTTGAATATAAAGAAATATTTAACATGTTTACACTTCATTTTGCAGGGATATTGGTATCAACACACCATTTCAATGAGTATCTGCAGATATCTTTTCTGCCAATTCTGCTTGGAGCTTTAATTTATATTACAATCACCGTCAAAATGACAGAACTTTTGACCTTTCTTTATTCTGGATTAATACCTTGATAAAGGACTAGTGTGAACGCCATACAGGGATGTTAGTAAGTAAGTTGCGCCCTCAGCGATAAATCGCTAATCGTCAAATTTACGGTGCAAGCAACGTATTCAAAATATACAACTCCGTCTGTTTTTGTATCCATTCTACACTTCGAATTTTGCAAATTTCTTTCCAAAACAAGAATAACGAATCAAAATGATAACGAAGCCATTGCACTCATTTACGACACATTTACATTGCTTGTCGCCTTATTAAAACGGTGTCCAATGTTGTTTTGCGTAAGTACGGATAGGAAATGTACGATAACGTAACTTATATGATATATGTTGCTTTGAGACGTAGGCGCGTTTGGACACAATCCTCGGGGGCGGACATCCGGGCATTTTCTACCGCCTGGCAACCCTCGCGGTGAAAACAAAGACCAAAAACTCACAGAAAACGGTACTTTGCGATGGTTGTTGAGAGTCCCCTGAACAGTGTAACAAGATTAGCCCTACGTGTGTAACATATATGAATTTGGTTGTTCAGAATTACTTCAAAGTTGAGTTTGTGTTGTTTTCTCGAGTTTTCACCGGTTCCACCGGCGTTCCACAGCAGCGCGCACAAAGCCCATAGAAATACGTGGTACAGTGGTGCGCGTCTTAGCAACGTAGAACGTCCGTGACGTAGCTCCGCCCCCGAGGATATATTATTATTCTCGTGTGAAAGCGAGGTGGCCGTCGCGTAGTGCGAGTTCGAATTAACAAACAATTTGACACCTGTTGTACATTTCGCTTGGGATCCGTAGGATCAACGCGTATTAATACAAAAACAGAAATACACAATATATTCAAACATAATTCAAAGGATAAATCACAAGCAGACTTACAAACATTACAAACTTACAAACACTGATCAACGAGATAATATAGACCTCCAGTCTAGCTATACAGCCATAAAACTAATGTCAGGTGTCAGTCGAAAAGAATGGACACACTCTGTTCAACATGTTGCTTTCGCCCTATATTAGTCTGCGTAATAATCAACAAAATTGTGAGCCGAATTAGAAATATCCTTGTCATTAATGAGCTACAAATGGCATATTTCCACTTCCGTCACGTGATGCTCTATGATCACATTTCTCAAAAACCCTTACAGCTCTTTTCTAGGTCGTCACTAAACGTTCATAAATAAAGAGTATATAATAAAGTAGCTGTCTTTCAGCACGTTCCAATCTGAAGAAACCCTCAAGGTAAGAATCAAAGGCAAAAAATATTAAGGAAACAATTGACACTAAAAGCCTCGTGGAGCACGGTATGCCACAAATTGGCGTCAAGGCTGCGCTAATCAAACAATGTTTTGTATGATTGATTCAAGGAAATGAAGTTCTACAACTGCCTAACACTACAAATATGGACTTCCTACTTAAAAGCCTAAGTTGTTGCAGCACATTTATATTACAAGAAATTCGAACGCGCTTTACGGCGACTGTCGTGACGCTGTAACTGTTTACTAAAAGGCGGTAGTCTTCGTGCCACGCATGTGCGAGATATACAGTACGTTGAGATTCCCATAATACAGTGCGCTCCCAGGGTGAAAAGCACGAACGCGAGTTTTGATCTGCGTGTCATGTGCACTGAATATCGACTTGGACTTTGAAATATTCTTTGATATACGTCATAATCATTCTAAGAATTACATTGGTAGCGTATCTTTTTTGTATCCGCTGATCCGCGAAATACTCGAAGTCGCCATCTTTGTTGCTATAGGCGCATATCTCGCGCATGACCAAGCGAGAGCCCGTGAATCGCCGACTTTTCACTGAGCTGGTGTAAACGCTAGATACTAAGCATTCATCCCAACCCATTAATTAGCAACATATCATGGTAAACTTATAATACAGTGATTTAAATGAAAGTATAAACTTTATTTTATCATAATACATTCGAATAAATGTGAATTAAATATAGGTTATATGTATGGAATTAAAAGTGGCCTATTATTCAGTTTTCTGATTGCATTGAGCTGTAATTATCCCCGATTTTCTACACTTAAGTTATCACTCGTATGCACTATCACGAGAAACTCCACGTAAATCAGGAAGTGACACCGAAACAAAACCAGTCTTGCGTGGAATCGTGAAAAAAAATGACTGTGGATTACTTTTCATCTTGACCTCGTCTATGTAGGGCCAATATATAAGGTTGTTCAAGGTATACGCCAGTTTTGACCTCGCTTGCGACGTAGCACTGATACCATGTACTAGGTACTCCCGTCTCTTACTCTATGTATCCTTTACACTATCATGAATGAATGTCTTGTAAACATTGATTCAGATGCAGTATTAGATTGACATTAGACAGATGGTCATATCGTCTATCATATGAACCCCCCTAGTTCCGTAAAAAGCCAATATTTGTTGGTTTCAGTTATACACACGGTGTTCTCCTCAGTTTGTTTTACTTAACAGCCAACTAAATAGCACAGACATACATTGACCCACGTGCGGGACTTTTTTGATTGACGCTGCCATGGAAACAACCGGCAAACATACGATTTTGGAATCCAACACATAACTTCTATGTAGGGATTTTTGAAATGGAACAGAACTGGGCTCGATTCACAGTATTTCTTCATTGTAGATGCCTGTCAAATCCGCGCAAACGTAGTTCTGGCACGTGCGGATACCATGAATGATGTAATCGGAAATTCGCATATAAGCCGATAATTCCACCTGAAGACCTATTATTATACACCAGGGTGATTTTCCAGTTTCTCTTAGATTTACATTATAACCACATTGCACGTCATGAGCCTGTCTATACGCGGGGTTCCGTTGTAGGAGATTACAGGGTGGGTAGTGGGGATGGTGGAATTTAGAAAATATTTATTCACCCATGGCTGACGTCAGTTTTATTATTCACATTCGACGCTATGTTGTTGTCATGGAAATTGAAAATCATGTTATTTGTTTTTTCTTCACTGCAACATCTTCCAGTCAATCCACTATTTTGAAATGGGAGAATCCTTAATAACCAAGGATAATTCGCTCAATAAAGATATAATTCATTTTCAAAGTACCGACACCACATATCAGGTCTGTGAAGCAGTTTGGTGCCGTAACAAATGTACTTCCGTTGAAAGGAATAACAGTTGCGTATATACATGCAATGAGAAAGTATGGAGACAGGATAGCATAATTTTCAGGCAAACAACTACGTGATGAACTTGCCGCTGTGTTCTAAGTGTGCTATCCACAATTAATTTAAATGTGATGGTCTTTGCGAATAATCGTCTTCGACATGTTTAAATGTGCTAAATGCATCTTTGATTTACACGGAATACGAACACGTGCTGGACTTTTATTTTATCTGTATCTAGATTTTGTTTTCTGTAGGATTTTCTGACAGCCCTTTTAACATATTTAACCTGTAAAATGCCGTATGATATTTAGAGCCTAGTTTGTCGAAATGTTATGGCATAAACACCCGCACTACATATGGTCTATTCTGTATGACCACAGGCCATATTGACTCGGTTTGTGGGTAATCTGGGGACATTAACCGTGATTTACACTATTACTCATTATATGATTGATAATATCATCCATCTTTCTTAACATTTGCCAGTTTATACAAATATTGAACCTATTAAAAGGTATCCACTTAAATATAACTATGCGTTGGACAGCTATGCTTGTAAGGGGCGGTTCGCTGATGTGAAGACATCATCTCCTGGCGATGATCTACATTGAGTGTAACTGTAAGTTGCGATTACGGAGTATTAGTTATGTTTTACTTCAAGCTTCAAGCATTCTCATTCTCGACTATATTTGAGAATTGTTTTGAGTAATCATGAGTAAACGTCATGAAAGCAAATGACCAATCAGTGCTTGTTTAAAACTAGAGCAAGGATCGCCTGCTTTTTCAAGTGGATTGATTGGTTATCTGTATGAAGGGATGTGCGCTGATTGGCTTATTTACAAGTTATTTGCATATTACAATGTAGGCCAATTTGACCACGGCTTTCAAGTGATATACCACCAGGTGACGTAAAGAGTTCACGTGCTCACGAAATTCGAACACGCGCTTCACGATGACTGTGCCACGTGACACGTTGGGTTCGAAAGTAAATATAACTCCAGTCAGTTTGTTACACTAGAGTACAAATAGACAAGATCAAATATTTGAACTTCATTTCCCAAGAAAAATATACAAAAGAATAGTAATATTTAGACCATTGTAGGCTGCTATACAAATTAGTTCGTGATATCATAAAGCGAACAATTAGAATTTGGTCGCCAAGAGACATGGGCGAAAAAAGTGCCAAGTGGTTTATACTTGTAGCAAAAACCAGCATATTTATCAGTAGTAATAGTTGTAGAATAATTCAACCCGAGTGGATTATGAACAATGATCGAGTGAAATGAATGATTAGTTATCCAAAAAACAAAAACAAAAAAACAAAAACTTATGCGAATATGCAAGCAGAAATCTTTGATTAATTACTATTATACATCTGTCACCGTAACGTAAGGCGCATTGGATTATGGGAAAATCAATGTTTATCAACACAAATGTCGCACATGCGCGGCGCGATAACCACCGCCCTTTAACTATCACGAGTAGTGGTTGATGTTGCTGTGTAAGCCTGGGTACTTTCGACAATATTGGAGCTTCCATGTTATATTAAGATAACACTATGCAATGTTATTCAAACGTGAAGTATAGAATGGATTGTTATTATTCTAGAATTAAAAAGGAAATCTGAATTAGTTTACCCGTTGCTCATAATGACCGCAGGGGACTTCGCTTAAACATGGTGAATCATTATTGTAGACCACGATTCGTCAATTACAGTGAATGCACAAGGCAACAATGTACGTCTTTCCACAATTCGAATCGGGAAATGAAAATACAATAGCTACATTCATCGCTGTATAAATAGCTCGGATATTCGGAGAATTGAAAGGGCGGTGTTTGACGCAAACATAATTAGTGAAACTGTATATGTTTTTCTTTCTCTAGCTAGCATTTGTGTTACTTGCACGTTTTGGTTAAGAACACATAGTGAAAATCAATTCTTGTTAAAATAAATATCCGCCGTATGCGATTTTAGGCAGAGCAGAAAACGTTACATGACCTTTGAACCTCGGGAAATGTCTACAATACACAGGAAGATTGAAGCGTGACACGTTACAGTGTGTGTCGTTTACCGCAAAAATTGCAGCAGCAGTGGCACGACTCATCGCTGTGCACGTGACGTCAGAGCAAACATTTTGGCACAAAGTACTCAGATTTGTATCATTCTTGACATGGCTCGTCATACTACGCGTGACGTCACTGCAAACTTGTTGGTGCTAAACACGTCATACTACACGTTTAGTCACTAATGGCATAATTGTTTATCAAAAATTGCAATGGTTCTAACTGCTGAGAAAATTAAAAAAGTCACTTTGTTAAAGTCGTAAAAAACTATATTTGACCCGATTCCCGTTGAGGAATGTGACGTCATACACAATTGCAACAGATATTAATGACCGTAGAATTTGTTCATGAGTGTCCAATATCTTCTGGCGTCATGAAATCACCGAAACACGAATAGGAGAACGTCTTGGACCAAGTTATTCAAAATAAAAGGGCTTTCAACAAAATGTTGCCGGCAATAAAATTTGAACTGATGTTAAATGTTTGATTGTGTATCGATGTGTTTAAAGCGGGAGGGTCGTCACCTGCGCACGCGCGGGAATTGAGCCCCAAGCGGCGATAGCAACACACGCTAAAAACGCAAAGGCCCATGGGTAGACGCTTGTTTGTAAACAATGACACGCTATGGCCATCTGACGCATGCTCAGGTGACGACTCCCCCGCTATAATTTTTGGGGGATAATACATACCTCAAATATCTTCAAAGCATTTCCTAAAGCAGCTGCATAGCAACCTTCTGAAAGGCCAAAGGTGATCGCCATACGTTTCACTCGCTCACTTGGTGATATCACTGGACTGTCGTCATTGAACTCGTGAAATACCTCATCTTCGGAAGGGCTCGGTAACGCCGAGTAGTCAAACGAAGCATTTCGGGCATCTTCGATAAGGCTTTGTCGACGACCAGTGTAAACATTGTTCTGAAAAAGAACATATTGCAATGATAAGTTAAATTTCCCAAAGTTTGTTTGTCTGTCGCCATTCTGTTCATTTGAAGCAGACGATTCACGCTGCGTATGAACACATTTTTAACATGGGTCGGCACGAAATATATATCAAACGCAGCGCCCCCTAGCGGCAAAGTGTTGCTGTGACGTTAGCGCAGTTATTGATCTGTGGTCGACCGCCATAGTGCATAATACGAAAACCATATCTGTTCAAAAACTGTTCGTTCGTTGCACCCACTTAATAATTTTATTTCTTATATGTCATCTTATAGATGTGTTTCCGGTGACCATTTAAACATACAATTAAAATTTCAATATTGTTTGAGCACTTTTAACATGACGTTTCGCATTCAATGAAAAATGACAAACCATTCTGTTACAACTTATGTGGTTATACAATCCAATGATTAGGAAACACTTACTCTATACATAAATAACCATAAATACTTCCATGCATTATTGTGAACAGTGAGGTATTTTACTTGTTTTGTAATTTCATTAAATGATACCTTCTACGGTGCATGGGATGTAAGATTACATAACACGTTTCTGAGTATAACCCATTAAATATTGTTTTACTATTATCATAACCACCTGGTTAGTCAAAATAAATGCATGCACACTATGTATTCCAGCTATGTATGTATGTATGTTTATTATTATTATTATTATTATTATTATTATTATTATTATTATTATTATTATAATTATTATTATTATTATTATTATTATTATTATTATTATTATTATTATTATTATTATTATTATTATTATTATAATTATTATTGGAACGAACATACACAGACATAACACAATTGGAGCCAGCAGAGGGTAGCGTACTTAAGAGCAAATACTAACCGAATTGTATTAGTGCTTGTTACTTTCAAGGTATAAATCTGCCTTGCACTCTACATATACCAAACAGTATTCTCCATATAATAAAGCTCTAAAAGCTTTGAGCAATTACTAAATTTGTGTAGCTTGAAATTGGGATTTGCATAGATACATATTAAGTTGTTTCTTCATATCGGCTTCATCATTAAACCGAAGAAGATATTATGAAACGTAAGTAAGTAAGACATTAAGTTTTTTTTTTCCTTTTAAAAAAACACACCAATGATGAACTATACCATATGATATTATATTTGGTTGCAATGGGTTCGGGTGAAACGCCATACACTCAGTTTTTGTGGTGTGAAATACAATGACAAGCTATTTTCTATGCTGCTCGCAGACCCTAACCATCTTTATTAGTGACTTAACAGAAGTTAATATCAAGACCAAGTAATTCACATAAAATAGATGGTTTGTAAGATTACCCGTAAGACGACATCAAACAGCACCTAGAGTCTTCTACTAAGTTTATTAACTTAAACTGTAAATATATGAGAGGAATAACATCTCCCTATCGAACTCCATTGATCACACTGACATATTCGAAGCCCAACAGCTGACCACGATACACTACGAACGAGAATTATTTGAGTTCCTTTATCTATTATAAGCATAAACAACAAAATAAATTTAGACAGTGTGTTATTGTTGGAAACAATGCTAAAACACGTTTCATGTCATTAATTTAATTCAAGTTAATTGTGTTTTATAAATACGTGGTGAGTTATGGATTTAAAATACAACATGTTTCATTAATTTAATTTGATTTTCTAAATTAGTTTACTTCGCCCAACGCATGCGCCAGATATGGGTCTCATATGAACAAAGAAAGTGTACACTTTCTTCTATGCTATCGATAAAGAGCCATTGCTCGAAACGTCTAGCTATTTTTAATAGTTATTTAGGACTACGATTACCAAATATTATCTTCTATATATCATATTTATCAGTCCGAGCAGCGTTTATTTATTTATAAACTACTATTCATATGAACAAAGATAGCGATTTTGACTGTTGCGTTGACTAACGAGTACAAACTGAGACGTTGCTAAGTTTTAACTAGGTATTTTTTTTGGTGGTGATTGGAAGGTATCGAAGGAGTCACCGGCGGTAATTATTGCACGCTACGCCCATGTAAAAACTCGTACTCGTGATCTTCATTTGAAGAACGCATTGGATTATGGGACATTATTGTTTATGACCACATATGTTGTACATGCGCGTGTTTTATAAATAAGAAGTGAGTTTTAGCTTTAAGACTCTGGTAGGTTAGGACCTATACCAAGGAAAATTAAACAACACCTGGCTTTACCGTGACGCCATTTACATCGTTTTATCAAACAAGAGATATGAATATATTACGCACTTGCGATTCATCATTTTGAAGGTAGTACTCAATCACATATGACAGATATGTACGAAATTGTACAGAAATATATTCACATTAGTGTACATCGTAGGTAGCTATTTTCAGAAAACTCCATCCACATGTTCACTCAAATACAAAAAAAAAACGAAAAAACAAACAAACAATAAATCTATGCCAGAGTGTAGTAAAAATGTCCTTGGATTAATGGGCTCTTTTTTTAGAAGAAATATTTCTATTTTTTACTCAGTTTTTCTTACAACAAATCCATTCAAAAAGAAATGTGCATTGTTATAGATATAAGAAACTATTCTGGTAAAATACTACTACAAATATCCACGACACATTTATTATATTTTATTATAAAATGATTAATCTAAATCTAGCCATCTGATTGGCTGAAGCACTGGCTTATATCTGGTACTATAAGGCCATTAATCTTGCCCCAAAACTGAATAAACGTGTTTAAATATATCTATCTGAATCGAAATCACACTACTGTGACCACTGTTCATAGTAATTGCAGGTGTATGATAAAATGATCAATACGAATTATTATTGCCAGAATTATTAGTATATTGCACATAAAAATCCCCGTGAGCATAACCTTTTTTGCCACTTCCTTTCTGGACTATCATTGTTATACTCCGATTAACGAATGATAACATAACATAACATTGGTAAAAAACTTATAGAAAATAGTATTAGGGTAGAAGCCCACTCATAAATCAAAATACCCAGAATTTAATCATTTTGCACTACTAAACTGTACTCAAAAGCAATATACGGATATTGACTTTAAAAAATTGGGGGTCCCAGCCTTATTTTCGAGAAATTGATGGTTGTATTTTAGTGGAAAGTCGCCATTTTGGCACTATTATAATGTTTTTATCATAGGTTCCTATCGCAGAGATATTATATAATATCTCAAGATCTAGCCTGGTGACTTAGGCCGAAAAAATGATATATTGTTAATGAAGGAATACTTTTTGTTGTTCTGAATTATTTAAAATATATGGGTTTTAAAAAATGGCAAAACATGCAATTTTTCTTTAACGCTGTGTTCTATGGAATTGTTCTAAAAATAGCGAAAAAAGCGTAACACACAAAATAATGCTTCCATAGGAAATTAGCTTCATGAACATTGTATGCGATTTATGACAATTTTGTCAAAAATTATGAGTAGGTTTCTACCTTAAGAGCATTTTTACACGAGTTGTTGAAACTTCAGACAACCCGAGTATCTGGAAATAATTAACCAGCTTTATAGCAAACGCGAATTTCAGTCGCAACAAAATCTGGGCATTTGGTCAGTCCTTGAAATGTACAATACACAGCTACATTTGAAGGCCAGATTCCCGATAACATGACGTCATTAACTTAGCATTACATGTACACGTGCGTGACCAGACTACCAATACGAAGATTTGACGGGATTTTTTTTTTACTTGTCTCGATTGTCACCGCACAGAGCCCAGACATCCAGGGAACAAATACAGCGTTGGGTTAAAAATGTGCGCAAATCACTGTGACTGTATTTGTCTTTAAGCGGTTCTGATGTTGTTCTCTTTAGGTTAGTAACGAGCCACAGTCGTCTCACCGCGTCGCATGGATCCCAGGCGATGTATAGAAAGCGCGTTAAATGCATTGTTTTGTTTTACATGAAATTAGAACATGCTTTGCACGACAGCTGTCTATCATAAATCTGCAACCTTCTTAAATGATGCGTGCTTTATGTGTTTATTTAGTGGTTCTATTACACATTACCCGGGGTCAGGTTCCGTTGCTCCTATGTCATCTTAGTTGAGGTTGTCCCGCAAATCAGTAACTCGATGTCACATTTTATGAATGTCACCATCCAATGAGTTGACTATATGCTGTAAATCTTGCTACGTGTATTCAAGTCACGAATGAGAGCACACAAATGATTTCTTTACGTCTTTTAGCGTGTTTTTTTCGATATCGGTTTTTTAGTGTGATTTTATTTCTTCTCTAAAACTATCCAATGATGTCAATGTCACATTCAGGGTAATAATATAATTATCATACAATAGATGATATTATTGTACAGAAGCAACTCGCAATCAATGGGTCACTATATATAATTCATAAGTTATAGTAATAATGCTTTATTGATCTCGACTCCTGCGAAATTTCACTTCGTAAAAACTGCTTTTGCGAAGAAAAAACAATGAAAAAAAAGATAAGAATTCAAAAGGAATCTATTGTAGGAAATGTTAGAAGAAACCAAATATAATTATAATTATCTCATCTGTATATCATATCTTTATCAATTTTACAATTTCATGGTTCTTTTTTTTTGAACATTTTCTCACGTGATGTATACAAAATTGAATTGTTTATTCGGTGTATCGTAGATTGGTGAAACGTTATTGAAAAAAATGAACAAATTCTATGATGCTTTTAGCCTGATGATGGGATGAAAAGAACGCCAAGAATCAACATTATATTGAAATAATGTCAACTCCTTAGAATTATGAAATGTTATGAGACACACTCCCACGGGAATGATCGAATTTCATGGTTGTGCTGGAAAACAGAGTGGTTTACAATTAAAGTTCTGAGGAAGAGGGAAAGACCGGAACAAACATAGTTACATATTCCGCAAATAACATGGGTGAAGAGGCGTGAATGGGAGATGACAAACACACGCAATGACGTCATTTGTGTTAATGTAAATTACATAAAATTA